ACAGCCCAGAAGACCCACACCAGCCATCGTATGCCGGCTGTGAAAGCCTTCGACAATACAATGGTGAAGGAAGTTGTCTAAGAAGCCACATTCTTTTTCTCCCCATGCTTTGGGCAGCAGGTTTTATTTGAAATCATTACAAAGACAATTCAAGAAGGAACATGGAAATGATACAAGATACCAACTCTTAATAAATGTAACAGATTTAATAAAAAAATAAAAGATTTAATTCAGTTAACACATAGGTCAAATAATAAAGGATCAAACAACATTCAGGACTATAGCTGGATCTTAGTATTTAAGTTGCAGTTCAGTCTACCCCAAAGCAAATGTACCCTATCTCTCAAATACAGGTTACTGAAGTATTGTAAGTTCATTTTATATTTATACAGTATAGTGCACTGAAGAAAGAAAACAGAAGCTACTTCACAGCTTGCCCATGTAATGCTTTTGAAGAAGTTCCACTATTTATTTATATATTTTTTGAGAGGAGTAATGCTGAGTTTCTACTGAGAAATTACACCAAATATTAAGTGCAAAAACTCTCACATCAAGTTAATGACAATATTAAAGATTAACTGGCAACTTGTAGAGTAGCTAATGTCTCAATGGCTTGATACCAAAAACAATCCCGTTAAGTGGAGCATTAGAGAATAATATTGAGAAAAAGGACACAAAACAGGGCTAGAAAAATATTTCACATCTGTGCCATGAGCCAACTTTCTTCAAAAACCAGCATGAAGCTTGCAAAGGATTATCTGCTTCAAGGTTCTAGATCAAACAGCATATTTTTTTTCTTTTTTTGCATTTGTTTTAATATACAAAACTAGGGGAAAAAATAAATGGAAAATGAACACAAACCAAGATAGTAAAAGGACAAACACATTATCACACGTAAAGAAAAGAGGTCAGTTTTTAAACTCACCATTTAACCTTGAGGATGTGAAATAATATTAATCAGTCTTTCCATTACATTCACAGAGAGTTAATTCGTAAGCAGACCACAAACATGTATCATCAAGTATTGTATAGGTAGTCCTCGGGTTATGACCATTTGTTCAGCGACCATTCAAAATTATGATGGCGCTAAACAAGGGGGACTCATGACAGCTCCTAGGAGTTCCGGCCGTCACAGCATCCCTGTAGTCACATGATCACAAGCTGGGCATTTTTATGATTTCTGATGTTTCCTGTTGGCTTCCCACAAGCAAAGTCAATGAGGAAGCTGGCAGGAAGTTGGAAGTCACGGTCACATGAGGTCCTCATTTAATGGCCCACATGGTCCTTGTTTAATGACAGCAACCAGGACTACCGGAATTGCCATTGCTAAGTGACAGTCATGTGATGTCATGCTTTATGACTGTATTTCTTAGCACAGAGTTCCCGGTTCCAACTGTCGTCATAACCTGAGGACTTCCTGTAAGTTCAGGGTGGCACATCTTCCTGTCTTAACAGAGTGATCTTCCTTACTTCATAAATCTAAAGTTCTTCATCTGCTGATTAATTCCAAATGTCTGGGATATCACAGCAATATCCATTTATTTTCTGAAAACCATACTAATAAAGTTATGGCTATTGAACCGAATGAGGTAATAGTGGGACAAGCCCTTATCATATGTATCCCCTCATCAGGTTATACTTCCAGCAAACTCTAGTTATACTGACAGCCAACGCTTTCTAAACATTCTCTAAATATTTAGAAGCCTGAACAAACAGGTTTCTTTGGATGTTGCCAGTGTTGAATGAATTACTTCTTGCATTACTCTTGATAGTAATTTGTTGCCTCACAATTCCTTTGTTCAACTAGTCCTTTTACATTGATTTGCTAAATTACGTACATTAGATAGCAGCCATTAGGGTTACAACTCAAGACACACATGGAATTATTTAACAATTTAATAGATCCTCCAGGTCACTTAATGGCCATGGAATGGAAAAGGACATTCGTATTATCACCTTTACTGGCTATGGCAAATGGCACTTCCCAAGAAACTGCTGATGCCATTATTTTCTCCTGTGATTCCTCCACAAGGAATCATCTATGATCAGTGAGGTTACTGAGCTGGTAAGTATTCTAGCCAAACTCACTGAACCAAATGCCGGTCTGCAAATAAAAGGAACAGCTGAATATCCCTAAAGAAAGGAACAATTCAACTGTAGTTGAGTCCAGAAATTTCCAAGTCATAGCAATATCTTGATTTTCCATGTAAGGTGCAGGAAAAGCTATGATAGTGTTTCAGATGGGGATAAACATGCCTCCTCTTCTTCTAAAACAATGTTCCTTGGCCTGGCCAGTGACATTACAAAGTTTAATATCACCAAACCAATTCTGACAAAGATGCGCAATACAAGAAAAGCAAATGGGACAATTATCTGGGTGAGATGAAAAATAGTTGTACTTAGCTCACTCACAACACACGTCAGAAAGAAGACTCCAAGGCTCACAGAGGGGTAGAGGGAAAGCTTTGCAAACATGAAGGCATGTTCTTTGCCACCGTATCTAGCAAAAGGATGCAACGTCTCAACTTCATGGAACAATGCAGCGATCCATATGCCAAACTGGAAGATGCTCGCAAAAAAAATGGTAACACAGCTAACTTGAATGGCTTCTATTTCATTGTAAGACTTATCAGCAAACTCACTGGTCAGCTGGTAAGCAAGAGGTAGTCCGCCAATAAAAGCCAAAGAAAGGGTATTAAGCAGGCTCATCAGTCGAGTGGCTTTTGTCACGTGGAGGAAGAGTGAATGGTGGACAAACCAGAGAAGGCCAATAGTTACAAATGATCCGAAGTAGGCAAGGAAATTTGGACCATATTCTCTCAGCGCTTCAACAAGATGACCATTGTATTTCTCTTTAACTTCATTATCATCAGGAACATTACCTTCGCTGTTGAGTAAAGAAAACAACATACATATATGGCACATACTCACACTAAATAACCTATCATATAGTGATACTTCATGAATTTCACTTTTGTTGACTGAGTTTGTTTATAAACTCGATAACTTCTTGAACACATTTCATTCCGTACCTAATCAAGGAGAAAATGCATCAAGCTAGTTTCTTAAGTTCAGACTACCTTTTTGTAATTCTAATAGAGCTCTACTTCACGAATAGTCACGTCTGATTATCCTGGAAACCATCAGCCAATCTGGGTATGTAATATACAGACACACAGATTCCTTTATGAAAGTATAGATAATTTACCTTTGGTTGCATCTCTAGCAAGTTTAGTTATTTAAAGCAATAAATCTTGGAGATAATATTTAAGTGGATGAAGGACCAAAGCATACTTTTCATTGTCCTGATTACATAATAGAATTGTTTTCCTATCAAGACCAAACAAAATATTATAAATCTGGGAAACTTTTATCATCAATATAATAACCCTAGGCAGTTATATATGTCTTTTGCAATTCCCACAGGATTCAGAATTCAGTTTCTTAACATTTCTTAATGTTTTAAAAGAAGCTAATTAATAACCATTACAGATGAAACAATGGGTGAGCTGCCATAGTATGGTAAGCCAAAACCAAACCATGTTAGTGTGATATATGAAAATTCTCACAGTCCTTGGAAGTATCTGCACAATCCTCAGTGAGAAACCACACAGTTGATTGAAACTCAACCACTGCAAATCCCAATTAAAAGTGTACAATGAATGAAACAAAACAAGAAGAGGGGCAAACTGTCCCACAGTTGGTCCTTGTCTTGACACAGCTTGGATTGCTTGGGCATAGAATGTTAAGCCCTTACATAATGGGGGTACTCAGCATATGTATTTCCCATAGAACTGAACAAATCCTAATCGAACACGGCACTCCTGAGATCACAGAGTTGAGGCATGTTAATGAGCGGTCCAATCATGATAATAAATATCCTCAGTTACAGATACTTTCATTTTTTTCCCTTAGCACTCTATCACACTTGAAAATGCGGGGTGCAATTATATTCTATTGCTGAAGACTTACCATATATCCAGAATTAACAGAGTTGCAACAATTGCATAAACTCCATCACTGAAAGTTTCCACTCGTTCCTTATTCAGGGGTTCCGTAAGATAAGAAGTAAAATATTCTACAGGGATTTCCTCTTCTTGACCTGCCAGTGAAAATGATCAAGTTCAATAAAAGTAATTGGTTTCTATGTTAAGAGGATAATTTGTTTCCTTCTCCAAAAAGCCCACAACACCCAAAAAACCCCACAGTATCAATATGAACTATCACCATTCTTATTCTATAGGTGTCTTGTTTATCTAAATTTGTTGGGAGTGTCATGTCTGCATTATTCTTATACAGGTAGTCCTTGCTTAATGACCATTCATTCAGCAGCCGTTTGGAGTTACGGCACTTCCGTGATCACATGATCAAAATTTGGGCACTTGGCAGCCTGCCTGCATTTATGACTGCAATGAGCACTTCAACTCCACATACCCGCCTATCTCCCCCCCATCTCTGCTTTTTTGGTTGCCCTGCACTTGGCCGCCACCTACCCCTGCCACCCCCAGCTGACCTTCGCCATCGTCTTCCTCCCGCTGCTGAGGCTTTGGGGAGGCTGTGTGAAAGCCTTGCGAAGTACCAGTAGCTGCCTCAGCTGGGCGTACCTCATCAGCAGCAGGAGGAAAATCAGCCATCAATAGACTCATAGAAATAAACCATATTTACACAC